GCTCCCGGGCCGCGCGCCGCCACCTCCTCCTCCTCCTCGGAGGCGAGCAGCGGCGGCTGCGGAAGAGACCCGGACTGCGTGGACGCGAGCGCCCGGGAGCCTGCGAGCAATCGGGCCACGGCGGGGCAGCCCGCGGGACTGCCACTCACCGGGCCCCTCGACCCCCAGAGTTTGGAACTGCAGCTGGAGCGCGAGGCGGAGGGAGCGGGGCCACGGGAGGCGACCCCCGTTCAGCAGTCCCCCGACGGGCTGCTCCTGGACATACTTGCCCAACGACACCCGCCCCCCGCCAAGCCGCAAGTCTTCTGCTCCGTGTACTGCGTGGAGAGCGACCTGCCCGAGGCCCCCACCGCCGAGTCATTGTCGCCGCCAGAGTCCCCACCTCGAGCACCGCCGGGGCCGATTCCCGCCAGCCCGCCGCCCTCCTTTCCCAGCTCTCCGTTGTCGCTCCCGGCTGACCCCCTCTCCCCCGACGGCGGCAGCATCGAGCTGGAGTTCTACCTGGCTCCGGAGCCCTTCTCCGTGCCTGGCCTATTAGGAGCTCCACCCTACTCTGGCCTGGGCGGGGTAGGGGACCCCTACGCGCCCCTCATGGTGCTGATGTGCCGGGTGTGCCTGGAAGACAAACCCATCAAGCCCCTGCCCTGCTGCAAGAAGGCGGTGTGCGAGGAGTGCCTCAAAATCTACCTGAGCGCCCAGGTAACTCCCATTGCTCTCTGCCCACTTTCAGCCCATTCACCATGCCAAAGGTCTGGGGAAGAGGTGACCGGGGCCCGCTTACCCAGGGCCTCTAGCAATTACTACCGTCTTAGCTTGTTATTAAGTGTGTTTTTACCACACTGGTTTACTGGCTGGTTAATTCTGCCCTGGGCTTCAGGTTTGGGTTGGCAACTGCGGGAGGAATGAGGCGGATTGCCCTCTGATTATTTCTCCTGTAGACTGCATGCAAGAGCTTGCTCCGAGGAGAGCAGAAAGACTGCCTCACTGGCCTGGCATCTCAGAAACTAACAGACAGTGAGCATAAAATAAATATTTGTGGAGCTGGTGAAGAGAAGGGTTGGAATTAGTAGGGCAGGGCTGCGTGATACCTGCGTTCCCTTTGCCTATCGAAAGGTAAATTGAAAATATCAGCTCTTGCCCACTTGTCAGTTTCCACACCAAAGTTAAAGTACGTTTCTCTGCTGAAATTTTAAGCCACCACCACAGTACTTTTATTTCCCCAAGAGAGTATCAAAACAGAGCCAAACAAAGCAAAGAGAGAGCAAGAAGAGAATTTCACCCAACAGGCAGCGGGGGAACTTTCCCCCCCACCCTCCTCCGGAGAGCTTCTTCTTTTTTTTTTTTTCTTGGAAAGCTTGAGAAACATAGCAACCCTCCTTCATGGTTTTCAGGCTGCGGCGGCATTTCTGCCAGTGTTTTGCACAATCCTTACTGCCCTTTGATCCCATGTCTGATTGTCCTAGGCCTCTTCATCTTTCAAAACCCTGTCAGTTCAGGTGCCAACGCTGGTGTGACGCTTTCTCTCATCCTCCAGGCCCCTGCGCCGATATTTTTAAAATTCGTCTCCAAATCTCTCCTGCCCTGAAATCGTTCCCTTCCTGCCTGCTTGTCTTGCTAGACTGGATGTCGATTTGTAGTCTGGATGGGATAGTTTTCAGATGATAGTGTTGCACGTACTGGCTGAAGGGAATTGAGCAGGGCTCTAGACAGTGTGGTTCCTGTGTATTTTGTGGCCTCTCTGAGAGTGTGTACTGTGCCCCACTGAAAATGCAAAGAACGACTTAGACAGACTGGAATGTTACACAAACAGGAGTTTGGCCCAAACGGCTGAGATTATCCAAACGCCCCGGGAGAGATCGTGGTGTCTGTTTTTAGGATTTTTCCGCCAGTGGAGATTTAGAGCCGAAGGAATGAGGTTGCTTGTTTGTGGTCGTTTCTATGACATCACCCTTGTAGCGATAGTGCTGCCGTCCCTGTGCAGAGCCTCCGGGTGGGACTCGGACATTCCCAAAACATGGGCCTTGCTCCAGAGAACTCATGGTGAGAGCAAATGTCTCCAGAAAATAGTACGCAGTGACATCTAATGAGATGTAAACAATAATACCAAGTCACATTTATTCATTCATTCATTATTTGTTTTTATTTATTTATAGGCAGGGTCTTTCTGTGTAGCTCAGTCTGGCCTTGAACTGGCTAAGTACCCTAGGTGGGCCTTGAACTTTGAGCCCGAGGCCTCCACTTCCTTAGTTATGAGATTAACTTTGTGGTCCTACTGTGCCCGGCTCTAACCCTTACCTACTAAGTGCAAAACCACCAGCTGGTTGTGAAGTTCAAGGCTTGGTTCTCCTGGTGGGTTATGCTGCCTAGCAGGTTGATTTTCTTACCCTGGGTCCTTCTGCCAAAGCAATTTTCTTTTCTTTCTGTCAGCAGAAGTTAGTTTTAGGAAGTTGGTGTTTTGAGCGACAATGAGAAGAGAGGAGAAGGGAGTAGTTCTTTCAGCACGTACCAGCAAATCTCCTTTGAAGTGACAGCAGTGTCTGAATCGTGTCTGCCATCTTTGTGACATCAGTGCCCCTCACCCCCCAAAGCACCTGGCAGGACTTTCTACAGCAAGACGTTGGTATTCTTTCAAATAATCACAGCACAAATTAAGTCTAGACTGCCGGGCATGCTTCCATCTCAGGCCTGCGTACTTGATGCCTGCGTCTAGCAGGTTCCCCTCCCGGATCCTTTACTTGCTCTGTCTACCACCTGCTCCTTTCGGTCCATGTTCACACACCATCCTTTACTGAGTGTCTTTGTGTGTGTTCATGTGCACACGTGTGTGCATGGTTTTGAACGTCTGTGCACTTGCACAGAGACCAGAGGAGGATGTTGGGTGTCCAGTGCCATCACTGTCTTCCTTTGAAGACTGTCTTTTACTGAACCTGAAGCTTGCTGTTTCCCATGGGCTGTCTGACTGAGCTCCTGGAGTCCCCCCCCCCTCCCCCGTCTTTGCTCTCCGGTCTTGGGGTTACAGGCATGCATAACCAAGCCTCGCTTGTTTATGTGGATGCTACGCATTCGCACTCGGGACTTATGCAGCAAGTTGTTTCCTACTGTGCCATCTCCCAGTCTCTGTGATTACTTTTTAAAAGTTGAACCTCATCCCACACTCCCTGTGTCTCTTCCTGGGTTTTAGTTTTTCTACAATAGTATTAATACACTTTCTTGTATCTAAGAGTGAACTTCTGTAAAGACAGGAGTTTCCATATGACTTTGTGAATTTCTGCCAAGTTAGCATATAACTGATATTTGCTCAGGAGTTACTGAATTTGTAAAGAACCTGAGGTCACCCTAGAAAGCCTGGGTGCCTAATTTCACTCAGAGCATTTTTTTGGGGGGTCTGTGGTTAAAGACAGGTTTTCTCTACTTGACTTCTCTGGCTGCCCTGGAACTCCCTTTGTAGATAAGGCTGGCCTTGAACTCAAGAGATCCCGCAGCCTCAGCCTCCTGAGCACTGGGATTTAAGGCGTGTGCCATCACTGCCCGGCTTACTCTGAGCATTTTACATTTAAGAGAAAGACTTAAAGCAGATAAATGAAATCGGCCACGTTGGCTTTTAGATCTAAAAGAGTTTAAGCAAACTTTCAGCTTATGCAAACTTAAGTCCTTTCCCATTGAGTAAAATGCAGGACTGTGGCTGTAATATTTCTGAGGTGATCCTGAACTTTAAGATCTGGCAATCTTTATATTCCGAGGTCTTCATTGCACGGTCTGCTGTGCCTGAGTCTTCCCATTGGTAACATTCAACCGCACACAGTGATCTGTGGTGAATCCACCAGTGCCTGAGTGACACCATGTCTAACTCTGTGGTTGCGGGGGCAAAATGGCATTGCAGCCAGGTCTGACAATACAGACCTGTAATCCCAGCTGCTTGGGAGATCGAGACACGGTTTCTTTGAATAGTGTATGGCTGCCCTGGAATTTGCTCTATAGACTAGTCTGGACTTGAACTCACAGAGATCCACCGGCCTCTGCCTCCCAAGTGCTGGGATTAAAGGCGTGTGCCACCACCACCCAGCATGATAAGATTCGACCTAAGCAAACATGACAAGCCTTGACTTCCAGGCTTAGAACCTTTTGATGGGGGCTGGGGGAATGTCACGTGTTTAAAGACCTGTTAGTAACGTTTTTCACATTTGAGTTTGTGCCATCTGCTTGGTGCATTATTTAACATCATTTGAGAATGTAAGGCAATCAGTATTAAACATTTTATACAAGCATTAAAAATGCATATTAATTGTGAGCTGGACTCATGCCTGGTTGAGTGAGCTCTTCTGAAAGGACTGGCTGCATTCTTTCACAGAAGACAGGAATTTGGGAGATGGACACGCTTTTAGTCTTGGAGCAGGGAAGAGTCTTTCAGGGACTGAAGATGTGGCCCAGGGGGATGTGTCTGTATCAGCAGCGTTTTAACATAGGCCTCAGCAGTTAGACAGTGACAGTGTCTTTGTGTCACGATTGGGTAGGGAAGTTTTCTTGGTGGGGTGACTTTATGGTACAGTAGTTACCACACACTTGCTGGTTACCATGGTGAAGAGGAGACCTGTAAATCCGAACAACCAGTCACTGCACCGGGCACTGAGGTTATGGTACGCTGAGACAAAGAGAGTGGATGTTAACCTGGCTTACACTGCCTAGGTATATGCGTGTTTTGTACCTACAGTTTCAGAAGTGTGATTCCCAGTGACAAACATGGCTGGCACATAGTTCCCAGGATGCCTGCAATGTCTCCCAGATTCCCAGGGTCTCCTAAGTGTCTCAGCTTGTTTGGCCTTTGCTGCGCTCTCCTTGGAAGAAAGATGAGCCGTTGCCACCTTTGCTCTGCAGAAACCATCCACAAATAGAAAAATGTCTTGTAAATACGAAATAGTAACATTTAGTAAGTGCTTTGGATAACACAAAGGGAGAATTGAGCCTACTAACAGACTGGCTGAAGGCAGCAGCTGCTGTGGCCTTTAGCACACTGCTCAGAAGTGCAGGAGATTGGCAGATGCACATGACTTGGAGTGTGTACACCTGTCTCATGGGTATTAATAGCAGCAAGAAACACATTTCTTCTACACATTGTGAGAAGAACAACTGCTACAGGGTAATGTCCTAAAATGACTGCTACTGTAGTCACCCTAGGGCCGGTGACCTAGCGGCCAGAAGGAAAATGCTCCCTTAGAAAATCTAAGTCACCTAGTCTTCATGGGTAAAGGTGTCGAACTTAGTTCTCTTCCTTTCAGTCTTAATATCCTTAGGTTATCTGACGAGCAGTTTGACCGTCATTGTCTTCATGTGGGTAGATTTGCAGATGCTCCCAGGCCAGAAGTGCTCTGGTCATCTCGACAGGGTGAAGGATGGCGCAAGCGTGAGCTCTGCAGACTTCAGTGTATGGGTTTGTGCGTGCGTGTGCGTGTGTGTGTGTACTCTCAGTGCGTATTTACGGGGGTGTGCTAACGTTCGTTTTTGCACACCTTCCTGACTTGTGTCCTGTTTTCCTCTTCTTTCTCCACACCATTTCTCTTTAGCAATTGCGTCCATTTTTCTTTGACTTTTTGAAGGCGCTTACTTTTGGCAGGACCAATCTCCCATATTGAGCTCTGGGACCGGCAGACCCTGGGCCTCCTGTGGCGGGGCTTTCCCTTGCCTTCCAGCTGACTGGGAGAGAG